CTAAGTGTAAACTTCCTTTAAAGCATTGAAAGTGATCAAATAAACAGTTATAAATTATTCTAAAATCTTTATTTCTTGAAATATTTATAACATGCCACAAAATATGCAAAATAGAATTAATCATAGTTGCAGTCAGACGGCAACTGGTGGAACAATTATAATGCTTAATGAACGAAAAAAAAGTTTTGATTCTTCTAATCGAGAATACTTTTTGAAAAAGTAAGTTTCTAGTCAATGCTATTCATAGGATTTATCACTTTTCAGTTTTAAATATTTCAAATATTAACTGATAAATAAGATAACAGTAATGTTAACAGGTATGTAGAAAGTTCAAGCCAATATGGGACATTCGATTATGAAAATGTTAATTCTTCCGATGATGTTGAAGCAAGATTTTCTATGAAAAAAGAAAATTCTGATTCTCAGTTAAATATCCCTGTAAGCTCAATTATACTCACTCAACTATGCTTACTATTTAAAAAAATTGATAGATTAGTAGTTTATTACTGTGCTTATGGCTGTTTTTGTTTAGTGGAAAATTTTTTATTATGTAATGTTTAATAAGTCTTATACAACAAATATCCTACAAACATTAATCTTAAGTACTTCGAAGATATGTCAAAATATAAAATTTGAGTCTAATTAGATTAAAATAACATTTAAATTTAAATGATTAAGAAACTGTTTACATGCTCATAATTAATTTAGCCATTGTCAGTCAGTTTTTATGAATAAAAAAGGAAAACATATTTTATACACTTCTTCTGCTTATCAAATTTTTTAATCTTTAATGAATGAGTTCATACATATTTTTAGTGGTATTAGTTTTTTCGCAAGCAAAGTTCGCAATTTTATCTCCCAAATGTGATAATTTATTGAAATTTTCGTTATCACTGTAAATAAATAATTTCATATATGCATATCATTTAGCAGTTTTCAGGCATAAATTTAGTTAAAAGTGTTATCAGTTTTCTGTTTTAATCAATTGTGCAGCTTTCAGGATTTTATTTTACGACTAAATATTGGTGGAACAAGTTATCGAATCAGAACTCGATCAATATCTAAATACGGTTCCAGAACATTGTTAGGAAAATTTGCTCGAGTAGATCATGATTTAAGAAAACAGTGGGCTGATTGGTATTTTGAAGAATCCGATGAATACTTTTTTGAAAGAGTTCCCAGGTAACTATTCTTTTTTTGTACTGCTATTGAAGAAAGATTTTTAAAAAACTTTGACGGAAAACCGAATTATAATTAATCACGCATTCTACGCGATGATGTTTTCTTGATTTGCTTACAATAATAATGTTTACTTAATTTTGGTTTTTTCTTTCTTTCTTTCTTTTTTTTGCATATTTTTAAAGGTATTTTGATCCAATTTACGACTTTTATGCTACGGGTCAATTGCATGTTCCTAAAGATTTATGCTTTGATAAGTTTATGGCTGAATTACGATTTTGGGCCATTTCTCGATCAAAAATGAATGGTTGTTGTTGTCCATTTGCTCAGTTTTCTCTCTTACCAAATGGTCAACAGCATAATGATGCTGTATGTTTGCTTGTTCCATTTTTGAAAGCAATATCTTTTTTTTATTTTATTTTTGTCTAAAAAATTGCTATTTGCAAATAAATTTCACTCATTACAAATATTCTTTTTTCTTTTCAGTTGAATTATTTCAAATAATTTTTATTAATTTTCTGTTATTACTATTTTTGTAGGAAAAAAATTCTTTTGTGGGATTGCGCTTTGGTAAATTGAGAAAAAAATTATGGCGTATTCTAGAGGGGCAAACATCATCAAAGTAAAAGTTTGCATTTTTTAAAAGTTTTTTTTTATTTTCTGTGCATTTGTTTGATACTGTAAGATAAGCTAAAATGATTAATATTGTAAGCAAGTTTACTGTAGTTCAGAAGACGAAAGAATACATTATTTTTAGCTTGGAAAAGTTTAAAATAAAAAGCAACTTGATACAAATTACAGTACTAATTGAAATTATTTTTCTTCATTCATTTTAAAGAGTAAAAAACTTTTGAGCACATAAAACTATTTCAGTTAATTAGATCTCTGTTTATCAGTTTGAATACTTGATCATTATAATATTAATAATTTACATCATTTTATTAAATTTTTTTTCAGATGGTGGAGAGTTTTTGAAATAACCTCTTCATCTTTTGTTATGCTATCAGTGACTGCTTTAATTGTGAGTTCTTTACCAGAATTTCAAGTTCCTGAAAAATTCAAGGATTCTTCATTCACAACTCAGTAAGTAAATAATATTGCAATAAATAAACTGGTTTTTGCAACTGCATAATGTTTGATAGATAAAAATTTTTATACAGATATATTTAATGATAATTTCTGATTAGTATTGTAAATTGTTGCAGTTGTCATAAATTTAATTCTCAGGTCAATCTTAGCAACTGAAAATGGACCTCATCAAGATCTGGTCGAGCATCCTATTTTTGATTACATTGAAGATGTTTGTGTGGTTTGTTTTAGTTTGTAAATTGTTGCAGTTGTCATAAATTTAATTCTCAGGTCAATCTTAGCAAATTCATTCTGATGCCACTATTAGTAGTCATATACTATTGTTTGCATTAAAATATTGTTTTTTAGGTTTGAATTTATTGCAGAAATTTTTTTTACCAGTATAATAGATTTAAAAAAATAAAACTATTATCAAGCAATTTATTTCTAGTAATATTTGCGATACTAGATATATTTGATTCACAAAAAATTATTCAGTATTTGAAATATACATTCAAGTTAAATAATTAAATTATTAGATTTTGAATTAAAAAACTACTTATTTCTATTTGAGACTTACTTCATATTGGAATATGCAGTTCGATTTTGTGTAGCTCCAAAAAAATGGCGATTCGTAAAAGGATTTCTGAATATCATTGATTTGTTGGCTGTTCTACCATTTCTTTTCGAAATCATACTTCACTGTGTAAGTTGTAAAATGGAAAAAACTCAGCATGACATTTCATTAAAAGTTAAATACAAAAGGATGCGAAAGAGACATGACAAAGGTCAGCTTCGTAATTTTTGTAAAGTCGCGAAGTGTTTAAAAGCAACTTCAAGTCTTATTTCTTCAGGGTATGACATAAATACAATAAATGCTGAAAGAGAATTATTTCAAATCAGTTAATATTATAATTTTATGCTTTAAATTTTGAAAGTAATCAGATATGAAATTGATTATCCTAATGAAAAGGAAAGACATAATGAATCATTGCAAAAACAATATTTTACTGACAAAATTTCACTATTGTTAACAGTATTTGAAGCATCGATAACTATGCTTTCAGTGTTGATAATGTCAAGTTGTTTAGTTATGCTATAAACTAAGCATTTATAAAAGTTGAAATAAAACTATCCCACTATGTATTGCTCTCGATCAATCAATTTCATTTTAATTTATAAAAATTTGATAGTGTTAGCAAATATTCAAAAACTGTTGAATGATTATAATTTTTTTAAACATTATTCAGATTGGCATTAGTGGAACAAATGTACGAAAAATACACTGGGCATTTCTTACAGTTCGTTTATTACGTATTCTTCGCATTGTTAGAATTGCCAAACTTGGACGATTTTCACCTGGTATTTTAAATTTTCTCACTTATCAAACTTAAGCATTGTATTGTTTTCAATATTTCTGAAGCTTAATTGTTATCTTTATTTAAATTTAGGATTAGCAAACTTTGCGCTGACTTTACGTCAAAGCAAAAAACAAATGCAAATGGTGGCGATTGTTATGTTAACAGTAGTGATTTTTTTTTCCACACTGGTGTATTTTTTAGAAAAAGATGAACCTAATACAACTTTCATTTCAATTCCTGCAGCTTTCTGGTGGTTTGTGCATCTGTTTGCCTTACTTTTTGCTAGCTTCACAACAAATATTTTATTTAAACTAAGAAATTTGTTTTTTATACATTTCACATATTTGAAATAAAAATTTCTATGAAAGCTGTGGAACTTCACATTAGCAATTAATAATGATTGTTTAGGAATGCCTTAAGTTTCAGGGCTGTTGTCACAATGTCAACAGTTGGTTATGGCGACAGTGTACCTGAAACAATACGTATATTTAACACTGAATTATGAATATTGCATTTTATAATTTCTTATTGAATTTCATAGTTTAGTTTTTCAAGAATTTTAAGCGTCATTTGTTTAATTTGATCCTTACTAAGAAATTATTAACTTTCAGCAGGAAAATTAATTGGGAGTGGAGCAATAGTATGCGGAGTAATGGTACTTGCGTTACCGATTACTATAATGGTTAGGTTGAGATTTCAACAAAAATAAGCACTAATCATTTTTAATTTTTTTAACTCACTAAACGTGTATATTATTCAATGTGTGCATGTACTGTAGAGTAAACTAGATAAAATACCTTAAAAGTTATATACTGATACCTACCACTTGGTATTATCTTTCCATCAAAGATCGGTATGGATCGAAAATGAACCAAAAGCATAATACATCGCGGTAAAATAAAATTTGAACAATGATTATCTTAAAAATAGCATCAAATTTTTTATGAGCCATTTCAGTTTTTCAGTAAAAATAAATAGCTTTGAAATTGCAATCATTTGATTCTTGAAATTTGAAGAATTTTGTAATTTGAGTTTTTGTTTGCTTCTTTAATGAAATGATTAGATAAAAATGGTTTCAGGTAAATAATTTTATGCAAGTAATGAAGTTACGAGAGGAACGAATCGTAAAGAAATATATTGATAATGAAAGTGTTCAATGATATATTTTAAGATATGCCTCGTCCTAGTTATCTAATTATTCCCTATACAATGCAATTTTTGGAATTTATATGCTATCTTTTTTTTTGACTTCGACTTTTAGTAACAGTAAAAAGCATTAATTCAATATTTGAAAAAATTTGTAAACGATCAATTTTCGTATTTTTAGAAACTGAATTGACAAAATACTGACTTGAAATTTTTGATTTTTCACTTCAAGAAGTTACAAATGATCAGCATAATAATTTGCTGAGCACTTTATGATTGGTTTCTGTTCATGATACTTGTTACTTCTTTATGCAAATCTCCAATTTATCCCTTTATTTTTCTCATATAAGCCTTGCAAATCTATTCTGTGTTGTTTAGTGCTAATTTTCATGCTTTTCGTTCAACTCTGACTGACTTTTTTCACATATTTGATCTCTGTGATACAATTCTATCAATTATTATCTTTTAATATTCTAAATTATTTATAGTCTTCACATCAAGCACTTGCAGAATATCAAATGCAAAGCATGCTCTACGAAAACAGACAAATGTTGTCTTACAGAATACTAGCACTTCTTAATAATTTTTTTACTACAAATGACTTTAAATAAAAATTGTGCAGTTTCAAATGATCATTACGCTTGGATTATCATGAACTGAAATCATTTTTCTTTCAAGCTTTACTGAGTTTACTTTCGTTAGAGCACTCACTATGTTATACGTCTAAATTAATTATTCAGAAGATATGATGTATGTGAGCATGATAGTATTTGTTTAAAGCATTTATTGCATTAATACTACCACATTGTATGAACTTGAATAGTTTAAAATCATAATTTTGCAAAAGACAGAATGAGTTGATGATTTTTGTGACTAGCGGCTGAATTTGAAGAAATGGCTCGATGTTTGCAAATATATGTGTCCGACTTGGGAATTTCAAATGCATTCTCGCAAAATAATGTGCAAAACATTTTACAAATGTCTAGTATTATTATGATGATTTTTTTAGATACTAACAATGGTTGCTTAGTATAAGGGATAAAAAGCTGAGCACCTCAACTATGTAAATTTCATAGAGTTCGTACAAACATACAAAGAAACTTAAAGGAGGGACAAAATGTAGTCCAAAAGATATTCACGTTATTTCTATCCTCTTAATCCTAAGCTTTACATTGACCTTTTCTAAACCCTTTATATACATTACATCATTACTGCTTGATATTTTTATGGGAACTTGATTATTTTGTGTGTACAATAGCATTAAGCCCGTGTTTAAATGTATGAATTATACATTTGCACAGCGAGACATTGTTGTGAAGAGAGAAATGGAAATGTTCATCATATCGAACAAGCAAGTGTGTGTGAACTCATAGTTCTTTTCGCATTCAGGTTTGTTAATTTTCATTATAAAGTAGCTAGATTCTTATTCTTTCGTAATTTCACGGTCTCAGATTAATTCTTTTTTAGTAAACTCTGGTCTGTCAATAAAAATTTTTATTTGTATAAATGTTTTGTTTTCAAGATAATAATGAACATTCATTATATTTTTTTCATTTGTACAAGGTGTTATCCTTTGCTTTATATTTCACTTATTTTAGCATGCAAATGTGTATCACTTTTCAGACATGCGTTGGTTATGAAGTAATGCTCAAATTCTTGTATTCGCAAAAATTGTTTTGTTCAAAAATGATGTAAAAAGTCAGCAAATCTTATCAGAATATGCGGGCCATTGTTTCGGATTTACAGCGAGCTCTATTTCATTTAGATGATGAACGTTTAGTAGCAGTGGCTAATATTGTTCGCATCGATAATAAAAAGCGCCGGAAGCCAACATTTCTTTGCTTAGCAGGTCTATCAATTTGTCATTCGTACTGTTCTTTAAAATATTAGACTTTTTATTTCAGTCTTTTTTTTATATAGCATTTTGATTCGATTAATTTTTGTGACTACTGTGACATTTTTCTAGTGACAACAGATCAACCCATTTCTGTGCGTTTATATTTCGTCAGAAGTGAGAAAGATGATTATTATAAGAAAAAACGTCAATTTACATTACGAGATGTGAAAACCGTTGATGGTATCAATCCGCGAAAGGTTTTGTATTAAGCCGTTGTGAAATATTTTTTTACTTTATATTTCCATTTCTTGTACATCATTTTGTTTTGTCTTGCAAATTTTATATAGAAGTTCCGATTAATTTCAGTTGACTGCAGAATTTGAGTTGGTTGTCGGAGATCGTTTGTTTAAACTTTGCGCGTCCACAGCAGAAGACAAAGATTCATTCATTAAACAGCTATATAAGGTTTTTCTCAAATACTTTGCCATTCATTTATTTTTTTCTCATATCAGATTTACTTTTCTAGTTTGCGAATAAATATCTCCCGGTACAGAAGCCAGATTTCGTAAATGTTCCGATCCCGGTTGAAACACCTTATACAGCTATTACAGTAGAGCATATTGATGATGACGCTGACGAGGGACTAGTCGATTATCAGGTCCCTGCAATAATTATTTTTCTTTTTATTTTCGCATTTTCACCTCTGAACTCATTAATTGAATTCTTTTTAGCCAATATCTGCGAAAGAAGAAGCTGATTTTCGTCGACTACTGGATCGCGCAAATCTCACGATTGGCGAAGCAGATAAATTTGCAGCAGTTCTTGCGTCGCAGCTTCAGCTCTTAGATGGAGCTAATATACAGTCTATTATGGATAGTGAAGTTGCTGTTAACGACCTGATCACACTTATTGAAGGTGCTTTAGAAGAGGCTGACTTTTTGGATAAAGAGCTTGATAGCTTTGATGAACTACTTTATGTTAGTTTTCTTACAGGCTTTTATATGATTGCAACAATCCTAGTTTCTGTTTGTTTAATTTCTTCTTCGTTTTCATTTCGATAGTTTGTGAGTTAGATCTGTAATAGGTGATAATAGCACTGACGTTTGAATCTGTAATGAATTAATAGCATGTTCGCGATAGCGTTGAACTAATCGAAGAAAAAGATAGTTTGGGATGTGTTGAGCGCAAAAATTCCCGCATCTTGAAGGATTATTTATCAGAATTAATATCTGTAATCGATATTGTCAGTGAAGATCACATTCATGCATTGCAAAATGCAAACTTATCCGATCCCATCAGGTAAGAATGTGTTTGTAATGTTTTAAAGCATTTCTTATTTCTGACTATACAGCTAAAGGCCTTCTTAGTTTTTTATTTAGTCAACAGTACTGATTTTTATTTTATTGTAGTATCAGCCGTTGTTGTGCTGCAGCACGTGCTTTGCAAGCTTATTCAGCAACTAAAGTTGATCCTTCAGTGCATTTAATGGTGGCATATAAAGAAAGAACTGACCAGTTAAATCAGTCAACTGATCGTTTCATCGAAAAATTAATGGCACATATGTCTGCATTGTTTTCAAATTTGGTGCGATTTAAGTTAGCCCATGATGTAAAATTGTTTGTGTGCATCATTAAATGTAATAATTTTCAATCGTTACAAAATTGCAGAACGATTTGATTGAAGTATCAGATTGGCACGGAATTGTTTTAAGAAAACAATCTGAACGATTCCACGCTCTTCGCCCATTTTCGGATTTGATGGGTTGGTTGAAATCGGTCAGAACAGGTGCCTATCAAACACTTATTCAGGTATATTCTTGAATTTAATAAGGCTTTATGTTGAACTGAATGAAATTTTCAAAATCTCATCATTTTCCGGAACAGATTGATCTTAAAAAGATGAAATATGAAGTTTCTTTCCAGCGATATGTCCAGAACACAAAATTGATATATAAAAGCGAATTTGAGCGCTTTTTTGACAACTTAAATGGTGAGCTTAACAAAATTGCTGCCTCTGAACGTAAAGCTACTTTACGTAGTACTGAAATGATAAAGTCTATGACAGAAGTGGTGTCTGATAGAATTGATTCGAAAGAAATTATCAGAGTAAGTTTCTTTGTTATTTTTAAAAAATCTAATGTCATTAAAGTGAAGGAATGTAGAAATTTTTCTTTATCGAAACTAATTGTTACTTTAGTAATTTCAGATGATATCTGTATTACATGCTTAGTGTTTTACTTTTATAAAGCTTTTAGTTGGTCGAGATCGTCTTAGGTGAAGTCGGCCCCATAGTCGAGTCTGAACAGAAATTTTGTACAAGGTTTTTTCATATGGCTAGTGATATGTTAACTGCATTAGAGACTCAATCTACATCTAGTGGAGATAGTGGCAATATTGGTAAAAGTGTTGAGAAACAAATGGCTGATCAAGTTTGTTGTTTTCCTGAAAAACATTAAGTTTGGCTTCTATTTTTTTCACTCTTTCAAAATTACTGGATTTATTAAACGCATGAAATTTTTGCTTATGATCAAATTGTTCAGGTGCGTGCTGTTTTATCTCCAATGTTCGAATATTTACATGACCATTTCGATAAATTTGTTAAATCCTGTTGTCAGCTAGAGCCATCGTATGTACCTATTCAATATTCTGTTTAGATTTTTGTCGTACCATTGCATTGATATTCTTTTCAATAAAAAAGCGCTAAAATTTGATCTATCGTTACTTATTAGTGTATCATATACCAGATTTATTTTCGTGATGTTTGTTTTCTTATCGAGAAAAGCTCTTTCTTTACAAGATGCATCTTCCTATTTCTCTGTAATGGTATTTGGACGACTGGTTGTGCTGGTTAAAAGACATATGGATGCTTATTTGGTATGTGTTATTCACTATTCTTATTGATATTTATAGTTTTATAACTTTTAACAAACAATATTTTTCATCTCATATTTTCAGGATAAGAAATCACACAAATTATCTGAAGTTAGATTTTCGAAAAGGACACGAATTGGAATTTTAGAAAATGTCGACCAGTTTGCGGTGAATTTCTGCCTGTCTATTTTCATTTTGCTATTACTTATAACTGATGTGGCTTAAATTTTGAGAGTTAATGATTGATTTGTCTTTATAGGAGTTAGCTCGTACAACACAGGCAGCCTTTGCTGAAACTGATCGTCGAACTGACCTAGATAGATGGTATACACAGTTAATTACGTCTTTGAAAAATGGGATTGAGCGTGCTGCTGATTCGCCATTTTCGAAGTCTCCACCTGCAGTTGTTCGATTCGAGAATTATCATCATTTGTACTGTTCGTTTCAGACAAATTTTCATCTGTGTTTGAAGTAGTTATAGGACTTTTGGTTGTAATTTTGTAATTCTGCTTTGGATGAGAAAGTATTCCGTATTATATATTCTCTCGTGTACTCGCTCTGTGGTGACTTCGAAATTATGGTTTCGCTATTTTTGAAGCCACAGCGAGGCGAGAGGGCAAAAGCACGGTCCAGCGCCAAATCAACAAATCAATAATGTAGAAAAGACTTATTTCTGATATTTTTATTGTAGTGAAAAAGACATTTATAAAGATTTATTTACTGTTTTTACTGACTATTGCAGCAGTTTTGTCTGAGCTTAAAATTGATTGTCTTGATGCGTATCGCAAAGAAGCGAAAAAAGCATACCAGGATAATATACAAATATATGTGAAGGATCTTATGGGTAGACCACTCGAAAAAATACATGTTAGTTCTGTCTCTTTCATTTATGCTAGAACAAAAGTTGTACTAGCATAAACTACAAGTAGTCTTGTAAAATCTTGAACAAAATACAAACTTGGTTGAAGTTTTCAGACTTTCTTTGAATCAGTGGAGGACGCTATTCGACAAGGAGTAAAACCAGAGGAAATAGCTTTTCATCAGCAGTTCAGTCGGTCAGAATTAAAGAAGGTGAGTTGCTAATGAAATAACCAGGATGCTAAGTGCTCTTGTAATTTATTAAAATAGCCTTACATGGCTTTTGGTTTCGCATTTTTGTTTTAGTCGTAATATAGCTACTGCAGTTTAGGTTATCTCACTTTATCCTGAAAAAGAAGTCAAAAAAGGTCTGGAACAGTTATATAGAAAGATAGAAAAGCACCTCACTGAAAGTTCTTCTTTACTGCAAGTGGTTTGGAGAAACATGCAGGTTCGTATCTTTATATTCATTTCAGTCCGTCTGATAATTTTTGATGCTATAAAATATGACATTGTAATGAGACGAAATGTTTTATCTAGTTTTATCGACTTTTGAGGATGAATTCCTGAAACAGCTGAAGCATTATAACGAAGTAATGGGAAACTGCTATCCGAATTCACGAATTGATCTTGAAGTATCTATCCAAGACGTGCTTAGTTATTTTTCGCAGATTGCGATGCAACATTGAAGGAGTATGATAGTTATTCTGAATTGTTCAGTTCAGTTTTAGTTTTAATTGTTGTTCATATGTTTGGTATACAACTATTACCCGGGTGTTCTCTGAACTGCAGGTTAAATCAGCTTTTCTCTTTCAATAGTTGGCTTTAATGAATTTGTACTATAACTGTGTTTTAGTAAATTACCTGCTCTTCTTTTTAACGGTCACATTTTCTTGCAAATCCAGCTGCTATACTTTTTAAATAGGATTTTGATTTATCATATTAGAATGCAGTTATTCTACTAAAAATGGTATTTGTTGTGAGGTTGGATTTTTTTTCTGATCATGTTCCTCAAACGTTCAAAATAAAGATTTGGTAAATGTCTCCCACTTTTTAAAAATCAGACTTGAAACTGTTTTTGTGATCAATTAGCAAACGGAACTACGAGAGAATTTTTAATAAATGATCCTTGGCATGAGATGTTATGGTTCTTAGAAGCTGTGTGTATTTCTGTGTGTGCTGTAAATGTGTGTACATATGTGAGAAAGAAAGAGAGTAAGAAGTTTAAGTGGCATAAACCAAGGTTCTATGTGGGTTTTCCTCCAAGCTGTACACTCAGAAAGCAGTTGGTGGATTTTGTTTAAGAGCTGATGGTGTGCAGTGTGGAGCCTCGAGTTGAACTTGCTTTACGACGAACGTTATTTTTCGGTCTAATTCTCCTTCTATATCTCCTTTTGGGTGCTACTATTTTTTCATCTTTATCGAAACGGCAGCAAACTCTGGTAAGCCATAATTTGTGGCATTGCATCACTTGCGTACTTGTTGATGTACGTTTCATGACATTGCAAAGCATGAATTAAATTTCATGGTAGTCTGTGTATTGGAATTTCAAGAATTATATCAAGACCGAAATTTATAAAGTCATAATTCTAAAGGGACTTATAATAATATACAAGAAAAATTTTACTTCCTGAAATCAAAGTCTGTGAAAAGTTAATTGATTGTTTATAATTTTATGATACTGAAGTCATCGAAGACTGAACATCTTTCAATACCGTTTTCTTAAATTCAATATAATGATTTAGTTTGCTGAATTATGTATTCTATAGTATTTCATTATTCAGATTTACATAGTATTCACACAATGATGGTATTTTGTGAAAATCACCGAAGAAACTTTCAGAGCTGTTGTTAATCTTCAGAAATTTAGTACTAAAAACTACTGATATGGATCATATTTTTATGAACAAAAGCTAAAAATTAGCAGAATTTTGAGATGAGAAATGAATATGCTGTTATTATTGTTTCTTTCATCTGTCATATTTGTTATTCTTAAGCGTAAAATCTAGCTTAAAAACAAAGCATTACAAAACAAAAGTAAAGTGAAATTATGATCAGTGCAAAATCTTTTTTTTATATTTAAAAACAATATAATTTCAATTTTGCTAACTAGTGATTTGTAACAGATTCGCAGACTTTGGTAATTTTCTATCTTCTCATAGTTTTAAATATATGCTTCATTTGATATAGTTTTTGTCTTAAACTTTCAAACAAAGTATTACTTGACAAGTGTTTCCGTTAACACTTTTTTAACGTTTGGTCAAATAAGTGAAGTAACTTTTTTCATTTTCAGCGAACTAGTATAATTTTTGAGAGCTTTTTTTATACAAGCAATTGGGCATTTTTTTTTTTTTTTTTTTT